GTGAGGGACTTGTTTGAACTGATTAAAAAGAAAGGATTAAGAGGCAAACGCTGCTTTAGTTATTAAACCGTTGCAAGCTGTGCACTAGCGCCCCCTAGAGTAAGACGTAAGGTAGCTTCGCTTAACCTAAGATTGTGCGGGACCCTTCTTATTCAACAGGGGGGGCAAAGACAATTTGCGCTTACCTCCTTCAATTTGTTGACAACCGAGTCCAGCATAATACTCATTGTATTCCAACGCGTTTCGACCTCCTGCAATACCTTCTTATCCAGGAGCTGAGTATTCCCGCTGGATTTTAGGTTTGCTACTAGGTCCTTAGCCAGTTTTGCCTATAAAAGAAAACGTTGGCGTTATAATGTGCAAAAAGGAAAGCCGCCGTCACTAATTTTCCTTTCAAAGTACTGACCTGGTGGAGTTTCTCGAGGACGAGAACGTCGTTGGCCAGGTTGTCCTTCATTTGCCTCACTTGCACCGACTCCTCCCCAGGATCGTCCATAAGTTTGAAGTGCTGATGGAACTTCATATACTGCGCTGCAGGAACGTGGCCGGTGTTTTCCAGCGGCATGAGAAAATCCACCAGGTCCTGCAGCTGATCTGCATCGTGGGTCAAGGGGGTAAGCCCTAAGGCCACGAGGACGCGGTCAACTTAAAATAAAAAAAAAAACAAACGTCCCGTAACAAACGTTTCCTTGCACATAGGGGAAATTTGCTGGCACTGGCGGGCGGGGGCGGCGCGGGGCGGGCCCCGGGAGACTAGGCAGCATGCGCCAGTGCGAGTGAAGTTGCCTACCGAACAGGCGCCGATAGGTTCTCGGATTTTTATGGTCATATTATTATTTTGCAGAACGAAACTTACCTTTTGTCGGCGAGACGTGACAGACTGCATCATGGCGCCGTAGGAAAACAGATGTGGAGTAGGCAGAACAATATTTTCTTGAAGTTTTTTCAAACTAAAGGGCACTTGCACAATCTTGGCGTCTGCACGTTTCACAGCGCGGGACACCTTTTCGATATCTTTACAAACGTCCAGAGCGTCCGCATTCTCAAGCGCAGTTTTTCGGAGTTCAGCAAAGGAGTATGATAAAATCCCTTGCACCACCGTATTGATGAGGTGGGCAACGCAATTGTCTCTTGGGAGATCTTCAAACGCCTTCTTCATATTTGAGCCCCTATCAGTTATCCACTCAATTTTTTGAAACTGTTGTGCTGTAATCCCTAATTCGCTGAGCTCCCGAAAAATTGCATTTCTAATATTTTTCCCACTTTTTTCCTGGTCTGATGGAAATTTTGCCATCACCAAAAAGTGGGATTCATTTGCAGTGCACTCTCGGTTGGAATAAGAGGCTGTCACTTCAATGTAGTGGCATTTTGACATGTCCTCAGTCCACATGTCGCTGGAACACCTGCAACGCCCGTCCTCAATTGCCTCGATAACTGCTGCAGAAACCTCCCCCCTTGCAACGTTGGCTCTCTCCAGACGATGCGAGAGAGTATTCACGCAGGGCACTAACTCCCTAGCATCTACACGCCCCTTCAGATGGCCGATATCAATGGCACATTGACTTAGTTCAACTACACTATCGTGGGTGAGATGGTTCAGGGATGATAGTGTAGCAGCGGCCACGTCCGCCATCTTGTCGACAAACTTGGACTTGGCGTCTAGGGGGAGAGGGTAAAACTCGAGGGGTCCGGCATCTTTTAATTTTGGACACGATTTTTCAACGTGGTACTTGAGACTACTGCTTCCGGTAGCCTTGGCGTCGTACGAAAGACACTTCTTGCATCTTTTGCACTGCGCTGCACCCATGTCTAACCTAGCCTTTGCGTGTACGACTTTGCGGAAGTAACGCCACGCCGAGTACTTTTCCCCGCCCTC